TCACACAGCTTGGACAGCAGGTTCGACAATGGCTCCTAGGCAGAGACCGGAAGCCCACTTTCCTAGTGGAAACTCATCTGAGCCCAGATGACCATGACAAAACAATGCAATGGTTTGCAACACGAGGTTTTGGAGTTCTGGGCCACGCAGCTGCGATTAGTCCCAAGGGTGGCACGCATGGAGGAATGATTCTTTTGTATCCTTCACATTTGCACATCCACTATGTCCAGAAACAGCTGATTGATGGATGCGGGTGGTATGCTGTGCATTGGTCTTTTGACAATTTTGCCCTGGTCATTGCGATGACTTATTTCAAATGTGGAGAAGGCATTCAAGGACAAACCAACACGCTGCTGTGGTCAGGGCTCCTGGCCTTTGTCACTGGCCTTGCAAAGCCGGTGATAGTTGTTGGGGATTTCAACACCACCCCAGAAGAGTTCATGGCTACAACGATGAGCTCAGTGATGCAGGTCAGCATGCTTGCAACTGGAGAAGACACCTGCCTAACTGGAAGAGAACTGGATTGGGCATTGGTCTCCAACAATCTGATAGCAGACACTTCGATCTCTGCAGATTGGATTGTCCCTTTCAAGCCGCATGCACAGCTGCATATCAATCTGGCAAAAGAGCTGCAGAGCATTACAGTGCAACAGATCCAGCGCTTTCAGCCTGCACCAAAACTACAACGGATCCAAACAGAATGGACGCAAGTTCAACCTGCAGATGTGGAAGTGAACTGGCTGGACTTGAGCACCAACACCCTCAGCCAAAAAGCAGGACAGTTGTACAGCAAGATTGAGCGCTATGTCTTGCAAGATCTGGACAAACCCACGCTTGGCCGAGGCACAAACCTCCAGTATGCGCAGAAGCCTTTGGTTGATCCGAGCAAACCATGGCTCTGGCGGAAGGGACTCTTGGCTTTCTGGTCACAGATTGAACGCAGGCTACAACAACATCTGCACAGGCAAAACAAGGCTGAAGCTGATATGCACCATTTGGAGAAATTGGGTTGGCATGTCCCACAACATTGGCATCCGGATGACACGGTCACCTTGGAAGGCTTTCTGTTGCTTTACAATATGTTGTGGGGAGAGCATGACAATGATCACATCAGAGTCCTGCTGAAATTTGTCAAATCCCAGTGGGCGCTGCATCAAGACACGGTTTTCCAGACAGAAACACAAGAGTACAGAAACTGGATGAATGCAGCAAGTCAAAAAGGGTGTCGAGGTTTGTACAGAACGCTCAAAAAGGATGAGATGCCTTATGCCAGACCCTTTCAACAACATCCCAGAGCTGAAAGGATGGAGCAGCGCATCCAACAGTGGAGCAGCATCTGGCAACAAAAAGACCAACCAAGTGAACCTAGAACTTTGCAAGCTTTGGTTCACAAAGGACAAGAACAAGCCACAGAGTTGCAACCTCTGCATGCACACCAAGTCTGGCAAGTGATCAAGCGTTTGAGTCACAAAGCTCCAGGACTTGACGGCGTAGGCTATGACTATCTCAAAGAGCTCCCCTTTCAGGCCATGCCGGACATAGTGGCTTTCTTTCATGAAGTTGAAGCGCAAGCCACAGTGCCAAATCAATGGACAACATCGTTGATAGCTTTGCTACCCAAAAACTCAGAGATCGAACATCCAATTGCTTTGGTAGCCTCTCTGTACAGGCTGTGGTGTAAAGTCCGAGCACCCTACACCCAACAGTGGCAGCACAGCATCAAGGATGTCTACATCTGGGAGCGGGCAGTGCCTGGCACTGAATGCCTGACGGTGGCCTTGAAAAGAGCCTTCATGACAGAGCATCACAAAGCTTTGCAGCGAACGGTCATTTCAGTTCTCCTGGACATGTCAAACTTCTATGACCGTATTGACCTTGAGAAGCTGACTGAGAGATGGTTGGATTCTGACTACCCAGCAACACATGCTGCTTTGGCCATGCAAATTTACTGCGGTTCCAGAATTCTTGAAGCAGAAGGAGAGGCATCCAGACCCATCTGGACTGCCAATGGAATTCTTGCTGGAGACCCACAGGCCCCATTAGCTGCCAAAGTGTATTTGCAAAAAGCATTACATGCCTTCAGCAAGAGATATCCGCAGCTTCATGTCGACCTCTGGATCGATGACCTGAGTTTCGATGTTGTTGACAGGGACCCGGCCAATGCTGTCAGGATTGCCATTGCGGCCTTCAACTACATCCGGCAGTTGCTGGAAGAAGACAATCTCCGCATTTCAGAGAAGAAGACTGGCTTCATAGTTTCAAACAGCACTGCAAAGAAGCTCTTGGCAGAACAGCTTCCCAAGCACGGCCCGAAGGTGCACGACGTGATGCGTGACCTAGGTGTTGACTGCACCAGAGGCCGACTCAGAAGGATCCGCGCCATGCAAGCTCGTCGACAAAAAGCAAACAGGAAGACCAAGAAGCTACAGTTGCTCAAGATACCGCAAAGGGCAATACGCCTGCGTTTGTACAAGGGCAGCGTCCTCTCGTCCATTAGCTGGGGACACGAAGCGATGGGACTAGCTCCTCAACATCGTGCACGGCTCAAAGCAGCAATGGGCCGTCAGCTTGGACATCAGAGAACAGGAAACCTTGACATTGTTTTCGACATGAAAGGGAAACATCAAGACCCGGACGCTGCGGCCTTCCATGATCAGGTAAATTTTTTTTCGGCATTTTGCTGGACAATGGCCTGAGGCTTTGAAGAAAGATTTAGAACGAGCATGGGCACCTCACCAAGAGAGACTTGCCATGGCTGCTCATCCCTGGCAAGTAGCCAAAGGACCTGTAGCTGCTTTGCAATGCTACCTCAAAGACCATGGCTGGCAAGCTGAGAGTTGTCACTACTGGACCAAGCTTGCGCCCAATAATGAACCAGAATTCCAGATCAGCATGAGTGACTCATGGCTCACCATCAAAGCTGAACTCAAGCGAGCCGAGAAAAGTGACCGGCTACAACGCATCAGCTCCAGATCCATGCTTCAAGAAGTACAGAGGCCTTTGGACTGGAAACCATGGGAGCGAATGCAGCGCACTTTGAACACCCAAAATGCCACTGCGTTACAAACATGGCATCAGGGCACCATCTTCACCAAGATGAGTGATGCGCAAGAAGGCCAGCACCTCATGTGCCCGCACTGTGGCCAGCCGGCCACAGCAGTGCACATGCTGTGGCTATGTAAGGAGACACAGAAGAAGTTCCCAGCCCTCAACAACGAGGACAAGTTCGAATTGGAGCATGGCTTGAATCTTGAGTTCTGGTCGCAAGGCCTTTTGATGAAGCCAGCTGTCCCCATTGCCACTGGTGGTGCATCAGTACAAGCATGGGGAACCTGGACAACACAAGATGAAGCCCGCATCCAACTACCGGATGTTGTCAGCATAGGCATTGCAAGCACTTCAACCGACTGTCGGTTGAAACACTATGCAGTGGCCATCGTGCACCACACCCAAATTGGTGGCCAATTGTTTCGTCAAGGGGCTGTTGTGGCTATATTCCCGGGGGCCCAATCCTGGGAAAGAGCCTGGTACTATGGCATCCGCATGGTGGCTCACTATGTGGACTTGCACCAGCGCATCATCCTGCATGTGCAAAGCACACGAGCCTGGGAAGCATGGCAGCACAACCGCCATGCTGAGGTTTTTCACGATCTTCGTGAACCATCACATTGGATCAAAAGAGCCGCATCAAAGTGCTGTGCATCACCTCCAAGCAGCTCAAGGACATGCCAAAACCTGAATGGTCTTTGAGGCACAGACAAGAAGATGCCTGCAAAACAGCTCGAGAAATTGCTCTAGGGCTTCAACCCACCAGCCAAGAAGAAGAACTAGTGCAGCAAGATGAGAAGTACAAGCGTATTGCACCACAGGCAATTCAGCGAGTTCGCTATCTCCTTGAGGAAAAGCAGCATTTTCTGCACGCAGCCAGAGAATCTGGCAAGCTCAAGCGAGAAGAAGCCAGAGAGAAGAAAAAAGAGGCCTACAGAAAGCTCTCCGTTCCCACTCATCCCAACCAACATGTTTGGGAGCCCAAGGGAAGAGGCCTAAAGTGCAAACACTGCAAAGCAGGAGTGACCATGCACTGCAAGAAGCAGCAACAGAGATCTGCCCAAAAGCAGCTGACCCAGGGGTAATCGGAGGCCACTCAGGCAGCTCTGACAAAGCCACCCTCATAGAGCAGATGCTAAACGGAGCGTGTGCCGGCGTGTCAGATCACTCTTTCAGCCTGCAAAAGCACTACATCGTTTGTGGACGCTGCAACCAAAGGCTCCTCAGAAATTCTGCAAAGGAAAAGCTGCAAGATCTCACCACGGCGCCATGTTGGGATAGTGAATGGCCAATCCCTGCTGGTTGGGCAGGACGCGCCACACACCGAATGTGGAGGAAAGGTGGAAAAATTTTCTGCCAGAGCTGCAAAGCACATGTCATGCAGAAGGATGGGCGGCCGCAAGCAAGCAAGCACCTGACAAAGGCATGCGCAAAAGGTCACACGACCCAGCTGCCCTTGTGCTTTAGGCCAAAAGATGCCTAGGCGCTGAAGCGGACGGAAAAGAAACGCAGAAAAAATATTCACAACCCACCTATAACGCATTCTTGTTTGGTCCAGAAGCTGCGATTAGGAATGGCTGCCTTGCGGACTGGTGCAGAGTTGGTCTATGTGTTCACAGCCAAGGAGGCCGCGATGCCGATCAAGTCCTACAGCCCAGAACTCATGGTGATGCCGGTGTATTCGATGGAAGACAGAGGGCACGCTTCCTGCATTTTAGGCAGTCTGTGTGCTTTTGGTTTTCTTTGGTGTGAGAGAAGAACTTCGTTGAACCCAGGAAACCAAATCACGTGCTGGAAGATGAGATTGTGCCTGGTAGAAAGAAAGATCATATCGGGCCTGGCGAGCTGCGCCACTGCTATAGTTCATGACAACCATCAGCCAAACAAATCTTTGCTCGCGTTGCTATGCCCGCTTGGCCCCTTTTAGCCTCTAGGTCACGCATGTGCAGCCGATGCTTGGTCGCTTGCATGCACTGGTGGTTGGTTGCGGCCTTGGCAGACATCAGCCAGTGCTTGAAGCAGCAAAGCAGCTCTGCGCCAGAGCAGCTGCAGAAGGTGCTGCTGCACTGCAACGAATTGAAGCGACAGTTGTATAGTCACAACTTTGGGGGGTTCTGACCTCATTGGGGATCGGCCCCTTTTTTCTTGTTCTGGAATAGTTCAAGGCAGCATGGATTTACTTTGGTTTCCTCGGCATCCACTTGCGTCTCAATCTTCCAGGCTTGCCCGTCGTCCTGGACGCGGATGGGCTCCAAGTGGCCATCCAATGGCCACCTGCCATCCAGCCTGTTTGACTGGCTGGACCAGTTGGTGATTTGATGATCCCCCATAATTGGAACGGTGTCGTTGGCGGCCTGAAGCATTTGGTTTGATGACCAGTTTGAGGCCAAAAGCCTTGGAGGGGATGAGCCGCACTTTGCTGACACCCAATGCCTATGAATTTCGGCAACTTTGCCAGGCAGTAGGCCTTGAAGGCAGAAGCAGTATGCAGCTGAAAAGAAAGACGTTCGAAAGGGTCTATTGCATTGACCACAAACAGTCGAAAAAAGAGAGACGGAGGGAGAGTACCTTTTCGTTCTTTTTGCTTGCAATCCTTGCAGAGCATCAGCTTGCAGGCGACGGAAAAAGCCAGCTGGTCAAGCTTTGCCCTTCGGCTGGAACCTGTGCTCGAGTGTGCTGCAGCCAAGATGCCCAAGATCAATTGCTGGGGACAAACTTGTGATTTTCGGCCTTTGATAGTTCCAATGAAGGGCTTTGGAAATGGCAGGTGAGAAGCTTGATGGGCCAGCTGTGCTGTTGAAGGGTGAAGAGGACGGGCGAGGCGCTTTGAGAGGGTGAGACGCTTTAGGACTGATACCAGTGAAGCCAGGACCTGGTGGCTGATGCCTCTGGACGTGTCGAGTGCTGTTCAGTGGAGGGCACGCCACGCCGCAGTGGAGGTGAGGATGACGATCAAGACTGCTAGGCTAGAGTCATCTGGATTCTAGATGCTGATCTTCCAAGGTGAGGCTGCATGGCCAATCATGATATACGTGACACATCGTGTGACCTCCAGCTGTCAAGGCTATGGTGATGTGCTGGCAGGGACACTGGGGACGTTACTGGCATGGTCCAAGAACCGAGTGCAAGGCCAGTTTCAGCTGGAGGGGTGCGATCGAAACAAGGTCCTGTGCCAGGAAAAGGCAAGTCTGTAATGTTGGATGTTGATTTGTAAACCGGTCTTGAATAATGCTATATATTTTCCATAATTATTCCAGACCCCATGTTTGAAAAAGTGGTCATGAATAATTTAATGCTAATTCTCCAAACAGTTTACTGTTAGGGGTTCTCAATTCTTTCTTAAGATGTGTCCGCCCTTTGTGTCACTGCTGGTGTCTGCCCTTTTCCGATGGCCATGTAGCATTTCTATTCATTCTTCTCCCAGGTCTGTCACTGCTCGTGTCCGCCCTGTTCCGCTGGCCATGTAGCATTTCTATTCATGGTCTGTCACTGCTGGTGTCCGCCCTTTTCCGTTGGCCATGTAGCATTTCTATGCATTTGTCTCCCAGGTCTGTCGCTGCTAGTGTCGGCTGTGACTGGTGGTGTCCGCCCTTTTCCGTTGGCCATGTAGCATTTCTGTTTATTTGTCTCCGAGGTCTGTCACTGCTGGTGTCCGCCCTTTTCCGCTGGCGATGCAACATTTCTATTCATTCCCCAAACAGTTTGCCGTTACGTAGGGTTTCTCAATTCTTTTTAAAGATGTGTCTGCCCTTTCTGTCACTGCTGGTGTCCGCCCATTTCCGCTGGCCATGGAGCATTTCAATTCGTTTGTCTTTAAAGTGATTTCTTTACTTTTGTCTCCCAGTTTCGGTGCCTGCGCTGCTGGTGTCCGCCCTTTTCCGCTGGCCATGCAGCATTTCTATTCATTTGTTTCCCATGTGGTTTCTGTACCTCCCCAAACAGGTTACTGTTACCGGTTCTAAATGCTTTCTAAGAGTGTCCACCTCGCTGTCCGGCTTATCTCTCTTGGTCTCCCTTCTTGTTGGTCACTGTGTCCGCCTTGTCTCC